AGATATAATATTTAAAACAAATTTCTGTAGGTAATTCAAGATCAACAGAAATCTAACATGACCTCATACGGAAAAAATAAACATGAAAAACCACCATCCAACAGAAAATGCAGAACATGAGCCACATGGTAATTTGACATGGTTTTACCTCCAAAAATATCTAGTTTTTACATGGGTATTTCTAGATGTTTGTTCACATGTTATTCATCATAAAAGAAGTGACAGAAAAATGTTTTTGCCTACGTGTGTGCAGTGCATTTGTCTGTAACTGTCATAAACCAATGGATGGATTTTATTGAAACTCTCAGAAATGAGTCACGGGATGCACACACTCAATAAACAGATGTGTTGGATTAACTTACTTTATTTAACATATCATGCTAAATCCACTTTTTAAATTGTTAAATGCATTGTGTTGTGTACTTGGAGTTTCTAGGAGTGCAGAAAAGTCGAATTTAGTCTAGGYCTGCACAATATATCACAGATTTATRGTTATCACGATAACAGCCAGTGCAATGTGCACATCGCAAAAAATGCATAAATTGCAATAAATGATTGGCTTAAATTTTTGCATTTATGTTGTTTGTCAGCATAAGTCTGATAAACAAAATGGACGAGAGAAACAACATCAAATTATAACCACTCCATCATGTTGTAATGGAAATTATGTATTGGTTGGTTTTTTGCTTTGAACCCAGAGCAGGAAAAATATCAACACTCAATATTTAAGTATTTTTTGATAGTGTCATCGCAATATTAAGCACTTTTGTGGCACATGGCAGATTTTCTTGATATTGTTCAGCCCTAATTTAGTCTCTCCCAGTGCTGCATYGATATCTTTATATTCTGTTTGGGTCATATTTTTCAACCTGTTRAGTTTTCTCTATTTTCCGTGATGTTTTCTGAACTATCAAATTATTTGCGATGGAACTGCCAAATAAGGTTTGAATTTCTAACAATAATTTGGTCATCGTTCTGGGRCAGACTCTGGCTCCAGCATGTAAGCCTGGATGGGAAGTCTTCCCTTGTTGATATCTTTTAATTCATTTGTGAATAAAAGCTTCTACACCGCTATATCATAAACACCTCTATCTACACAATGGACTGCTCTGGAAGCTGGACAGGGGGTGGGGTGTGAAACACCTCATTTGGATTTAAAGAGACAGCCTCAAAATGAGTTGATCTGAGACACACCTCAGAAAAGTGGTGAAAAAGGGGCTTGTGGAGATACGGTAAGGAGGAATTCAGACCAAAGCATAGCAGTTTCACTTTCTACTGACCCAAACTGAATTATTTAAATGAGAAATAGAAGGATTTAAAAGCATGATATGTCTTGCCAAGTTATGTCAACTGGTTCCACTCAACTGAGTGGAGTAAATGTAACACAATTTTCATATTTGAATATGGTTGAATATTCATTTATTAATTTAAAAAACAAACAAATTCACATACAAAAAATTACATATCAAATAAAAAATGAAAGGTAGCAGAAAGA